CTTGACATATCCAAAAGACGTATAAATCAAATTTTAAATGAAAACGAAACGGTTACATATGCTTCTCACGACGTTGTACCGAGGTTATTGAAGCGCCATATAACCCCTCGACCAGAATTTGCTGAGAAGTACAAATTTTGGTCAGAGGAGTTCACTAAAGTTATATTTTCGGATGAAAAAAGAAAAAACTTGGACGGTCCTGATTCCTGCCAAAAGTATTGGCGCGACAAAAGGCAATCATGGCAGCACTGCCATAAACGAAACCACGGTGGAGGATTATTAATGGTTTGGGGTGGAATTGGGTAAACTGGGAAGTCCCCACGTTGTTTTAAACCCACCAAATCAAATGCAGAAACGTATGTAGAGTTGTTGGAAAAAATACTCATTGAATTTGCTGGAAACCTTTACGGGGATAACTGGATTTTCCAGCAGGACAACGCGCCCGTGTGGGTGGATATACTGATGCTGCGTGGGCTGGCAATCGCGGCCAAGGCACTCAGGCGAGAAAAAAACGTTATGAGCCTACAACTCCTACTTTTTTTTCTACAAGGCTTTGCAACGCACCGGTCTGTCTGTTTTGAACAGGGAAGGATCGATGGTCGGGGCTTTTCCATCGAAGTGGTGTGAGGTGTGGCAGCAGCGTGGCGGCCGCAAGGCCAAGGTAGTTTTCTCCGAACTCTCGGCACTTGTTTGCTTTTTTGCAATCTTCACTCATAGCACAGCACAGAATTTAAACTATGAAAAGTTTTCCCGTTTACTCCGGACAGTTATGTAACTGCACTTTTCGGACACGTGGTTAAAAAAAATATAAGGGATTTTACGGAACGTTTGACTCTCGAACGGATCCACCAATTCGAATTTTCAAAAGAGACCGACCTGGCCTTTTGATCGGTTTAAATACGATCTAAATATCTAAACGGACTCCTGTGCTAAAGCTTCTCTTGGATAGCTCAGCTTAGCTCAGCTGTTCTAAGACCAGAGCTTGCACGCCCCCACCCCAAACTATGCTACAACATATTTTTCATTAATAGGGAAATCAAGGCGAGAAATTTGAGCAACATAGCAATATGCTTTTATTTATTTTTGCTGCTGAACGGCGACCCTTACAATTCAATTGCGAGTTGCAACGGGAGCAAGACTAGGATCGAGATGAGCTGGCCAAAAAAGTTAAAATATGTGCCGCTGTTGAATGCATTTTCCTTATATTTTACTTAAACAGCTGGTGTTTTATCTTTATATTAACTGTCTAACTAACTTACCTTAAAATCAATCTTTACCGCGAGTTCATGCGTAATAATTTTGTAAAAGCACAACTTATTTAATTAATTTTGTGCGTCGGTTAGTCGTGTGTTTGTTTTGTTGCTTTTCGTAAGTACGCCCTCTCATTACATTTAGCCGCTCTTTGTCGTGGCTATTGCCGTCTATCAGTCTCTCTCTCTGTCACCTAACTCTCAATACCTGTTCTTTCTCTCTCGATCTCGTAACTTTCTCAACTTTTCCTATTTTGCTTCAAGCATCGCTCTAAGCATTTGCTCTGCACATTGGTCTGACTGCTATTTGTTCTAAATTTTTTTTTTTTTCGGAAAAAAAAAATTGTAAGACATCATGGATTTTTCTGTCGTCTGTGCCAAAAAAACCTGCAAAAAGCATATCACCCATGACCAGCACACACACTGGCTTTGCGAAAGCGTAGTACACGCAAAATGTGTAGGGATGTCGGGCCGTGTAGGAGATGTCATATCCCAAATCAACGGCCTGTATTATAGGCCGTATGTAAGTACGTATGTAAGTGGCGACTGCCTCATGTCCGCCGGCATCCGAAAAACTTACTCCGACCACTCCTTTAGTGCAGCAGTTGATTACGTTTGCTACTCCAAGGGCAACGATCGCTGCTGGTGACGCAGATTCGGGAGCCGAATGCGTCACTTCGGAAAGTATGCAGTTAGAAATGTCTGTAGCGTCCGTGTCCGTCGAGTCCGCACCCAACTCCGACCATAGCGTTGCTAAGCCTAACCCTTCCGCTCACTATACCTGAGGACTCCTACCATCCTACATTCGAAGTGACGGTCGATATTGGACCTAGTGTATTGGATCGAACGGGTAGGCTATCTGAACGTGTCCGCTGCTTACGTAAAGTCGAGCTTACGAAGCTTAATAACCTCATTCGGGATTTTGTTGGTCCGCTCTGTACGTGTGCACTGACTTTATGAAAGGCACAAACATTTTTTATACCCGTACTCAAAAAAGAGTTAATGGGTATATTAGATTTTTGGTAAAAGTGGATGTGTGTAACGCAGAGAATAAAACGTTTCCGACCCCATAAAGTATATATATTCTTGATCAGCATCAATAGCCGAGTCGATATAGCCATGTCTGTCTGTTCGTCTGTCTGTCTGTCCGTCTTGTTGAGCGCCTAGATCTCAGAGACTATAAGAGCTAGGGCAACCAAATTTGATAAGATACGATAAAAAAGATCGGATCATAATTATGGGCAGAATGAAGAAATTTATTCTACTCATTCTCTTTCTCGCTCGCATACTCTGCCTCTTTCAGTGCGCGAGTGCCCTCTAGCGGAGGAGATGTAGAATCTAAATGGTAGATGTAGAAATTAAATTTTAAATGTATAATCTATTGTAGTGAACCCATGCATGTACATATGTAACACTCTGTTATATATATAAATACATATATACATATGAGCAGTGACATAAACAACTTATGTTTATGTTACACATTCCTTTTGCACAGCAACGATCTAAGACTTGAACGCAGATCGGACAGCTACCAAAACTGCTGAGCAGGCATTTACCCGAACTCAGGCAGAACCCAAACGCCCTAACATATAGGCGATGGGTCTCACTCTCAAAAGCCCCTTAATGCTGATCATGCATTTCCATTAGACTCAGGCAGAGACCACGCGCACTAATACTTATGCGGTGGTACTCTTTTCATATAATGCATGGGAGAACTCTCGCTCTCCGTTATACATAAGAACGATTGTACCCTAGGATAAGAACAAAATGATATTCAATAAACATTCTGAATTAAGCCACCAACCGATGCGGTATGACTTCGCTGAACATCAACATAACATGGCGACCATGACAACTGGCCCAACTGGAATAATAAGGACAGAAACAGCAAAGAAATATCTGAGTGAGTACAGGGATGAGCACCCAAATTAAACTTAAACCCAGAAGAAGTGGTTTAAAAGAACGGATCAGAAAGAGAAAGTCTGATATCGTTAAACTTCTGTATAAAAACGACAATCCCCCGAAGTGGGAAGTCGCAGTGAAGTTACAGAGCGAACTCGAACACCTCGAGTCGCTATTAAAAAGTAAAAGCTCACCCTGTGCCACAACACAAAAACAAAATAGACAACTTGTTAATCACCGTCCTGCCCCCAGAGCCATACCAAAACAACAAAAGAAGTGCCCTGGAGACTGCCAAGGACCACTCTACAGCCCGACGTGCAACTACACTTGCATATGGGTGTTGCCGAAACGGAAAGAGATGACCAGCGCCGGCACCCCATCAGCCTGCGAGATGACCAGCTCCAGCACCCAATCCAACTAGCCTGTGCGAAGACACAGCACCGGCACCGCCAGCGCGACAAGCTGCGCCACGGACCGATAGCGTTACAGAGAACGCCCATCAAAATAATATTAAATACTATTAAAACAATATAAATAAATTTAATTTTTGTAATACCCGACGACAATTGAGTCGACCGGTAAAATAGATTGGCCTGTAAAGCCATTCGCCTATTAGGTAGGACACAAATGTAATGATAATTGGTATAATAATATATCAAATTTTAAAAATAATTTTTGAGATAAAAGAAAAACCCAATAATTCAATCATGGGTAAAACAGAATCAAAGATCGAAAATCCGACGGCAAATGTCGTCAATAAACTTGAAATAGTAGATCACACAGAAGACATAGGTTCACTGTGGACACTATTACTAATAATAATTATTTTGCTATCCACAATGCTTTTGCTAAAATTGTATGCAATGCACAATAAGATATTAAAGAAAAAGTACGCAACAACCACTTTATAAACACAAATATATATATATAAAAAAAAAAAAAATTAATTAAATAAAATTATTTCAAAATATCCGATTATCTATGGACAATGGTTGGATACCGATAACAAAAGCAATTGTAAGAATTAGAACAGAATTTGATAGATCTTTTAAATGTTTAAATAAAAATGTGCATATCACAATACAAACTATAACAAAGCATACAGAAATACTTATTGCACAATATAATAAAATAGTACTTATCTATCAAAATTGCCAAGAAAGACTTTCAGATTTACATGAAACCCAAATTATAGAAGTATTAGCAAACCTACAAGAAAAACTTCTTAAAATCAGTACAATACATAGCTTGCGACTTTCCTTACCAAACAATTACACCAGTCTAGCCAGCTTTAATAAATCATTTCTGCCCGATACAATACATATAGCAGAACAAGTAATACTAGAATCTGACCTAGAAACTGACCAGGAAATAGAAACAACAATGGCACAAACAAATATAGAATTTCTCAGCTCAGCCACCAGGCTTATACCAGATTTCGATGGTAAACACGAAAATCTGAGAAGTTTCCTAGACGCACTAGAAATAGTAGATTCCATTAAAGGAACTCATGAAGTTTTAGCAGTATCCGTCCTTAAATCAAAACTTAAAGGACATGCCAGGAACTTAATAGAATCAGAAACAACAATAGCAGACGTCATTCGTAAGCTTAAAAATGACGTAAAAGGCGAGTCAGTTGAATTACTAAACGCTAAAATGTTGAACGTCCAACAGAAAAATAAAACTGCAAACGTCTATACTCAAGAAATTCAACAATTGACAAAGGCTCTAGAAAGCGCCTATATTGCAGACGGAATTTCTCTTTCCCTTGCCACTAAATATTCAACCCAACAAGCTGTAAAAGCTATGACAAAGAATTGCTCCATCGAAAAAGTTAAACTTATCATGGAAGCGGGACACTTCAATAACATGAACGAAGCTGTCTCCAAGTTCGTAAACAGTTGCACAGATGCAACCGGTAAAACTGATACCGTACTGTACTATAATCGGCAGAGTAATAACTCATATAGAGGAAACTCATACCGAGGCGGAAGCCGAGGTGGATACCAAGGTAATTACCGAGGTAGTTATCAAAGTAGCCAAAGCCGAGGACGCGGAAATTTCAGAGGAAATTTTCGACGTTACAACAATAGTAATAACAACAATACAAACTATAGCGGAAACAACCGTCAGAACGGTGGATTCTATAGTGGTAATAATGCCAACTCCAACAGGCAAAATAATAATGTCCGACAGGTGCAAACCACACCGGAAAACCAGTAAGCCCCCTTAAGAAAACAAAAACAGTAACGGTTCACACTATCAATCTTAATTTCAACCTTTTTGTTTCATTACAAAATGAAAAAACACACAACATGTATACATTATTGGTAGATACAGGTGCGGACATATCTTTAATAAAAGAAAATACAGACACATTTCGTAACATAGATTACAAAAATATCACACAAATATCAGGTATTGGTGAAGGTTCAACCAATTCCAAAGGATTAGCATTCATAGAACTTCTCTCAGGAAAATATGCTATTCCACATAATTTTCATATAGTAGATTCAAATTTTCCCATTCCTTGCGATGGAATAATTGGTATAGATTTCATGAAAAAATTCAATTGTCAAATAGACCTTAAACCAGAAAATGATTGGCTCATCCTGAGACCAAATAATTTCAATTATCCCATCAATATTCCAATATATCATACACTAGAAAACAATTTAACAATTTTACCAGCACGATCCGAAGTTGTCCGAAAGATTGCTATAAATACAGCAACTGAATATATATTCATACCAAATCAAGAGATTCAAAATGGAGTATACATTGGAAACTCTATTTCAGACTCTCAAAACACCTTCGTCCGAATATTAAATACAACAAATAAAAATGAAATCATTGAATTAAATACTATAAAATTCGAACCATTAGATGATTATGACATAGTAAATACCAATCCTAATAATAATCACACCGAAATTTTAGACAAGTTAGATAAAAACTTCCCTATCCAATTCAAAACCATTCTTACAGAATTATGCACCAAATACTGTGATATATTCGGAACAGAAACCGAATCGATATCAACTAATAATTTTTATAAACAAAAGATAAGGATGAAAGATGATGAACCGATATATATAAAAAACTACAGAATTCCCCACAGTCAAAAAGAGGAAGTAACAAAGCAAGTAGAAAAGCTAATAAAAGACAAAATAGTAGAACCCTCAGTCTCTGAATACAACAGTCCATTATTAATTGTCCCGAAAAAATCATTACCGAATTCAGATAGTAAGAGATGGCGCCTAGTGATTGACTACCGCCAAATAAACAAAAAAGTTTTATCAGACAAATTTCCACTTCCCAGAATAGATGATATTCTTGATCAATTAGGTAGAGCTAAATACTTTTCATGCCTAGATCTGATGTCAGGTTTTCATCAAATAGAACTTGAAGAAAGTTCAAGAAATATAACTTCATTTTCAACGAGCAATGGCTCCTATCGCTTCACGCGATTACCATATGGTTTAAAAATAGCGCCCAATTCTTTTCAAAGAATGATGACAATTGCATTTTCAGGTATCGAACCTTCTCAGGCATTCCTGTATATGGATGACCTAATTGTCATCGGTTGTTCCGAAAAACACATGATTAAAAACCTCACCAGCGTTTTTGATATGTGTAGAAAACACAACCTTAAATTGCACCCTGAAAAGTGCTCATTCTTCAGACACGAAGTAACCTTTCTAGGTCATAAGTGTACTGATAAAGGTATTTTACCAGACGACAAGAAATATGACGTTATAGAGAAATACCCAGTCCCAACGGACGCAGATAGCGCTAGAAGATTCGTTGCATTTTGCAATTATTATAGACGTTTCATTAAAAACTTTTCCGATTATTCATGTCACATAACAAGATTATGTAAAAAGAATGTTAACTTCGAATGGACAGATAAATGTCAGAAAGCATTCGAATATTTAAAAGTACAATTGATGAAACCAACCTTACTGCAATATCCAGATTTTAGCAAAGAATTTTGTATAACAACGGATGCAAGTAAACAAGCATGTGGTGCTGTTCTAACACAAAATTATAATGGAACTCAGCTACCAGTAGCGTATGCATCAAGATCATTTACAAAGGGAGAAAGTAATAAAAACACAACAGAACAAGAATTAGCTGCAATACATTGGGCAATAAATCATTTTCGACCATACATTTATGGCAAACATTTCACTGTCAAAACTGACCATAGGCCACTTACCTATTTATTTTCTATGATTAACCCCAGCTCAAAATTAACACGTATGAGACTAGATTTGGAGGAATATGATTTTACTGTGGAGTATCTTAAGGGAAAGGACAACCATATAGCAGATGCGTTATCAAGAATAACCATTACAGACTTAAAAAATATACAAACAACCAATACAGTATTAAAAGTCACTACAAGAAATCAAAGTAGACAAAAAACCTGCGCAGGTTCAAACACAGAATTGCAAAAGCAATCGATCTCTTCAAAGCCCAATATATACAACGTCATACAAAATGATGATGTTAAAAAAGTAGTGACCTTACATTTATCTTCGACTAAATGTTTCTTTAAACATGGGAAAAAGATATTTGTGAGAATTAAAGTTAGCGACCTTTATACTAATGGAACCTTCGACTTAGGTCAATTTTTCCAAAGGCTTGAAAAAGAAGCCGGTATAAATAACATCAGCCAACTTAAAATGGCACCGAGCGAAGAAATCTTTGAGAACATTTCAATAGATTCTTTTAAGAACAAGGGCAATAAAATATTAAAGAATTTAAGAGTAGCGCTACTCAAGCCGGTGACCACAATAAAAGAAAATAAAGAAAAAGAAGAGATACTGTCTACATTCCATGATGATCCAATCCAAGGAGGTCACACAGGTATAGCTAAAACATTAGCGAAAATAAGAAGGCATTATTATTGGAAAAACATGACACGTCAAATTACAAATTATGTGAGAAAGTGTCCCAAATGCCAAAAGTCCAAAACGACTAAACATACCAAGACCCCATTGACTATAACTGAAACACCACAAATGGCGTTTGATAGGGTAATTGTGGATACGATCGGTCCACTTCCTAAATCAGAACAAGGAAACGAATATGCAGTCACTTTAATCTGTGACTTGACAAAATACCTTATAGCCATACCAATCAAGAACAAAAGTGCAAAAACAGTAGCTAAAGCTATATTTGAAGATTTTATTCTAAAGTACGGTCCAATGAAGACGTTCATTACGGACATGGGAACGGAATACAAAAATTCAATAATTGAAGATTTATGTAAAAACTTAAATATTCAAAACATAACATCCACTGCACATCATCACCAGACTGTAGGAACCGTGGAGCGAAGCCACAGAACTTTTAATGAGTTCATACGCTCATACATCTCAACTGACAAAACAGATTGGGATGTATGGCTACAATACTTCGTATATTGCTTCAACACAACCCCCTCTATGGCACATGATTATTGTCCATATGAATTAGTTTTCGGTAAGACTTCGAACTTACCAATACATTTTAATAGCATAGATAGAATAGATCCTCTTTATAATATAGATGATTACGCTAAAGAATCAAAATTTAGACTAGAACAAGCCTTTAAAAGAGCAAGATTAATGATAGAATCTAATAAACAGAAACAAAAAATTAATTATGATAAAAACTGTTTGGATTTCAAATTAAAAATAGGAGATTAGGTTTTATTGAAAAATGAAACAGGTCATAAGTTAGATTTTAAATATACTGGACCATATAAGGTAGATAGTATAGGAGAAAATGATAATATAACAATTTCAAATATAAAAGACAAAAAACAAAAAGTACATAAGGATAGATTAAAACTTTTCATTTCATAATAATTTCATTTTATCCTGTCATGACCATGATTTAGGTAACCATGACTTAGGTAGGCATACGTAAAATAGCCATGATTTAGGTAACCATGACTTAAGTAAGCACACGTATATAACCATGATACATAGTTCATCGGAAATAAAAAAAAAAAAAAAAATAATAATAATAATAAAAACCATAAATAAATAAATAAAAAAAAAAAAAAAAAAATATTTTTATATACATAAACATACATGTTGGTTCACAAAATTCAAATATTGTTTCAAATAACTTCATATATTACGTTATTTTTTTAAAAAGGGAGGTGTAGTGAACCCATGCATGTACATATGTAACACTCTGTTATATATATAAATACATATATACATATGAGCAGTGACATAAACAACTTATGTTTATGTTACACATTCCTTTTGCACAGCAACGATCTAAGACTTGAACGCAGATCGGACAGCTACCAAAACTGCTGAGCAGGCATTTACCCGAACTCAGGCAGAACCCAAACGCCCTAACATATAGGCGATGGGTCTCACTCTCAAAAGCCCCTTAATGCTGATCATGCATTTCCATTAGACTCAGGCAGAGACCACGCGCACTAATACTTATGCGGTGGTACTCTTTTCATATAATGCATGGGAGAACTCTCGCTCTCCGTTATACATAAGAACGATTGTACCCTAGGATAAGAACAAAAAGATATTCAATAAACATTCTGAATTAAGCCACCAACCGATGCGGTATGACTTCGCTGAGCTTCAACATAACACTATATTGTAGATGTAGATAACAAATGTAGCAAAAAAAAAGGAAAATATATCATTTTTTTTAATTCGGTGGGTCCGCTAGTAACACATAAATATAAACAAATAATTACACTCTCGATCGTTGCCGGTCTATACCGCGTAACAGATAAACTATATACATTAAACGAAATAATATCGAATTCTTTTAAACTACAAAAGCTACTAAAAACGCTTATTTGTATTTGTATTTTCTATTTTCCATTTATAAATACTTATAAATTAAGGCGCTAGTCACAACAATTCTAAAAGTTATTAACATTTTAAAAAAAAGTTCAGAATACATAGAAACATTTAAGAGTAATTACAGTTAGAATTATAATTGAACTTATGTACTAACATTTACTGACAGAATATATTTAATTTTACTTCTATAGGTCTCGCCCTCTCTTCATCCATCCCCACTATTAAAAAGTTTAAATAATTAGATTTAGGCAGTGCGCAGATGTTCCTCCAGTGCGATCTTAAATTGCTTCGCGCCACTTATGGCCTTAAGGCCGTGGGGAAGTTGGTTCCAAATTCGGACAGCATATACGAAGAATTGTCGCATTGTGCAGGAGTACTTGT